GGGATAGAAATGGTGGCTAGCAAACAAAAGCAAAAACTGTTTATTTTGATCATGACTTCTATTAAAAGGAAACGGTGTGTGTGGAGCAAGTGGTGGTTTGTTGTTGTCTCAATATTGTATCATCAGGTTTGGTGCCCCCCCATTGGTTTTTGATTTGATTGCTGTTGTAGAAGAAGTATCTACAGGACTGTGCGTCAAATCTTCTGACATTGCCAGAATTCCGCCTTGAGGTCAAATTTTATCGCAATGGTCCTTACTCAGCTGTTGGTGAACTAACAATAAAAGACTTCAGATTTGGGCCTTGGATCCGAGGAATCTTTTAGGGTTCTCGAAATTTCCCTCAGACGGCCAAAATTGTACAGTGTGAACTGCTTAATTATATAATTTCAAATAAATGCTTTATTTTGTACTTTATCATGGTTTCTTTCCAAAAATATTTGGCTTTACAATGGTTTTCAACATTGAAAAGTGTTTCTTGAGATTTCTTGATTTTGTTTTTACCTGCATCTCCCAACCTCAATCATTATTCATACAGATATGAATGGTGCTTTTAAAGACCTAATATGATTTTTCTTTTTTTTTCATATTATAAAACAAAACTTTTATTTAATTCTATTTTGTTTAGGAGCCTTGGTTTTTAGATAAAGAAGTCTAAAGGTGATGATTAAGTCTTCGAAGTTGATCCTTAACAATGCCTTTGGCATCTTTTGCAGACATTGTGCATATTGGCCAACATTGCTGACGGAAACACTGCCAAGGAACTCATTATGACCAATGACGACATGCTCCAAAAAATTAAATATTACATGGTCAGTGTATTGTCCTTAGCTCATCTGGTTTCTCAGTCGTGGTCTTTGTTTTCAATGCTTCTTTGTCATACTAGTTTTTTCTGTTTTCTAATTGCTTGCCTTAGTCTCCTTGTTCTGTTGTTGGCTTCCCTCTTGTCACTGTCCTTTTCTCCTGGCCCTTCTTTACTTTCTCTTGCTGGATCATTATTTTGCTTCTCTTCTCTATGATTCAGGGTCACTCCAATGTGAAACTGCAGCTGGCTGCAACCTTCTGCATCTCTAACCTCATCTGGAATGAGGAGGATGGTGAGGAGCTCATGACGCATGGTTTGTGGAGGTTTTGAACAGATTTTTGAGCACGAGTTTTGTCATTGAAATTACAAACGGTTGCACAGTATAACTGTTGTCTGAATTTGTGGCACAACAGAATTTAAAAATACAATTAGGGCTGTCAATTAATTAAAACATTAATCGCAACTAATTTGTGGGGTTTAAAACCTGATTTAATAATATATTTTTAAATTTGCACATTCAATGTTAATGCATTCAAGCTCCCAAAGAAAGAAAGTACAATAAAACGTAACGTCAACATATTTGTTAAATTTAATGGTGTTATTTAAATGGAAAAAGATTTATAAAATAACAACATCTTAACATTAACTTTTTCCTAAATATTTCCTGTTTGGAGGCTCTGATTATTTATTTATTTATTATTCATCCAACAGCAGTGCAGTTTGTAGTTCACTTGGTGTTGTTTATTCATATCTGATGGTGTAACCTTGAGTTAAAGGAGTAGTTCACTTTTAAAAAAAAACTTTTGCTGATAATTTACTCACCCCCATGTCATCCAAGATGTCCACGTCTTTCTTTCTTCAGTCGAAAAGAAATTACGGTTTTTGATGAACATTCCAGGATTTTCTCCATATAATGGACTTCAATGTGAACCAAACGGTTCAAGGTCCAAATGAGAGTTTCAGTGCAGCTTCAAAGGGCTTTAAGCGACACCAGACGATGGATAAGGGTCTTATCTAGCGAAACGATCGGACATTTAAAAAAATAAATAAAAAAGTTTAAGTTTTATAAGCACAAATGCTCGCCTTGCTCTGTTCTGTGATGAGCGTTTGTGACTCTCCTGTTCAAACTCGTTCATCAAAAGGAACAAATCTTTTTTTATTATTTTTTTTTTTTCAAAAGTCACGACTCAAAGGGTCCTAAATAATACCCTTATTCATTGTCTGGTGTCGTTTAAAGCTGCACTGAAACTCTCATTTGGACCTTGAACCGTTTGGTTCCCATTGAAGTCCATTATATGCAGAAAATCCTGGAATGTTTTCATCAAAAACCTTCATGGCTTTTCGACTGAAGAAAGAAAGACTCAGACATCTTGGATGACATGGGGGTGAGTAAATTATCAGCAAAAGTTTTTTATTTATTTATTTATTTTTTTTAAGTGAACTACTCCTTTAAATAGGACTCTTTGTGTATTGTCAACAATACAAGTTTCTGTTTTTCTACTTCCTCCAGGCTCACAAGAGAGACAAGATAAGCTAAGGGAGATGGGCTTTGTTGATATCTTACACAAACTCACCCAGGCATCAGATCCCAACCTCTGTGACAGGTGATGGACAGATTGGCATTTTGGTGGTTGTTTCATCTGTTGTTTGGTTTGTTGCCACAGTAATGATGTGACGGTTCACATTTCCCTTTCTCTCAGGGCAAAAACAGCAATGCAGCAGTATCTGGCATGACCTCGAAGGAAGGCGCGCTACGGCCTCACTAACAATCTCAATGTCTAAAATTTTGAGATTTATTTTTTTCTTTGCTCCTCCTTTTTTGTTTTGTTGCACAAGACACCTTTTGTTGTGGAACCCCCGAACAGCTTTGTAAATCGGAGACACGGTTGCCAGGGGGGCCACAGCACATTTTGGGCTTATGTTTTCTGCTGAACTCTTGGAACTAGTTTTTTTTTTTTTTTTTGGACTTCATGTGAAGGATAAAGTTCCTCAAAGTGTGTTGCAGCTCCACCTAGTGGATTGAGGCTTTGGACTCCCTTTGGAGAAAGCTGACTGACCTCTCAGTGCTACGCTTATAGGATCTTAGTCTACTCATTTTGGTTTGCTGATTTACTATTGATGATATTATTATAACAATAATAATTATTATTATTATTATTTTAATTTGGACTTTTGACACAAAGTTAAAAAAGACTGCTTGTTTTTGTTCTCTTTTCTCTTTTTTGTGGATACATGCCTCGTAAATATATATAAATATAAATATATAAATATATTTTTGGGATTTTTAATTTACCCTTTCAGGTTGTTTTTTTCCCTTTGTATTTTCTTCTCTGTAATATAGGCTAATGTGGGTATATCTGGAGAGGCAGCATGTTAGGTCATTACCAAGACATTTCGAAGAAATCATCCAACCCCAAATAGAAGGTGAAACTTTGTTTGCTCTTTTGACAGTTTCTTCGTTTTCTCATTTTCACTCCCTTTATCTTCACGCAAATCAGTCTCTCTCTATAACTCCCTCTTTTTTGAAGCTCTATAGTGAATGTTTCCACTCAAATATATGCAGGCCTCTGCCATGGAGCAGTTTACTGGTTTGTGTGTTTTTTCCAAGTTTGGGAAGGGCTTTTTAGCACAGAAGATATAGTAGTAGTTATCACATGCTTTGGTACTTGTAGGGAAAACCGTTTTGAATCCTGACTGCGTCCCTTATTTCCTTTAAAAGAGAAAAAGAAAGTCCCATCATCTTTCCCTGCCTAATGTAAAAAATGTAAGAGAACTCCCCATACCTATAAATTTAAGTAACAAACCAAAGTCACTTTTTGGTTGATTTGAAATCACTTTCATATATTATTACTCAAGTATTTTAATTTTGTAAATTATTTTAAGAAGGTAGTTTTTAAAGGAGCACAGAAGTCTTTATTCTTATAAAACATTACTTTGTTTTATTATCCTGGTAAGTGTCTCTTGTAAAGCATGTTACAGTTAATAAAATACATCTGGACCCCTGTTTGCCTTGGGCGTGCAGCCCGTCCCCTCCCCCCCATACATGCAGGCACATTCCTCATGCAAATTAATTGGACATACAGGAAACCCCAGACCCCAAAGTTCATCAAAGCTCCTATTATCCATATTCAGGTCCCCTGACCCAATTACAGAAAATAGAAACCAAAATATTCTAATGTCTTATAAACAACATTACCCTTCTCTATTCAAGCTAGTACAAGGTGGTCAGGATGGGCAGATGGCGCGCACGATTGCACCAGCAAACAGATAAAAATGCAATGATGTCCATCTGCTTCCCAGATATATATTGTGGCAAATTGTACAGCAACTCGAGGAAAGAAACACTGGCTGCTCGGTTTAAGCCAGTCTGTTGCTGGTCATCAGATATCAGAGATGCTGAGGTGATCATTACTGAAATGTGGTGAGAAACTGAGTTTGAGGTGCTTCTGCTTCCATGGGCACCAGCTGCAAGAATCATTCTTCACAGGAGTCTGTTCTTCTCAGTATAGCAGGTAGATAAATACATACATGCACACATAAAATCATTAAACAAATAGATCAGTGAAATAAAAGTGCAGTGCTTTTTACTGATACACAACCAAAAGCTTTTGAGAAATGTTGTGAACACTGAAAAATTGGGAGCGATATAAGATTTCTTTTCATATATATTATGAGAAGGCACGCTGGCAGGATGACTAAAGCTGAGTGTATATGTTTATTTCAGTTCATTAGGTGTCATGCCAAGCTCCCGGGACCCTGCATGGGCTGCCCAGCATATGGCTTGCCATACCCTGTCATAGATACAGTATATATAATAATTACTAAATATAATAACTGTTTGCATTTTACAATAACGCAGTTTCACCTTTTTGATCTGTTTGTGGTATTGATATTTTTGTATTTTTTTTTTTTAAAGTAGATAAGGAGGTAAGTTGGGCAATAGAACATGACTTGTAACGTGCATGTCATCCATGGTTGTTCACTGGGTCATAAATGAACACTTGCCAAGTGCAAATGTAAGTGAACTCGCTTTGGCAAGTCAATGAAATGACCAGTTGGCTGGTAATTCTTTTAGCAATTTTAACATACATGGTTAAAATACAATGTAAGAATGATAGGGTTTCTTTCTTTTTGCAATTGCAAGTGATAAATAGAACTTTTAACTAAACTGTAAATATACTATCAAAAGTTTTATTTATTTATTGTCATAGCTCTAGAAATGAGGTGGGACACTTGTGACATTTATACCACTGAAATGAAACAAGAAAGGCAAGTTTTTTTTTGTTTTTGTTTTTTTTTCTTGTGGGGATGGGTGGCGTTGTCGAGAGTTTGGCTTAAATGTGATGCCTTGAACAACGCAATGTTCTGCACTAATTGCTCTAACTATTCAAGAGACAAATGGCTAAATAAATCCATTGTCATAGAGAATTATATATATACTTTTTAAGTAAATAATGTAAAATATAGTTTCATGGCTGGTAAAAAAATATTTATAGCATTTACCACATAATTTTAGACACTGGTTGGATCTATGTGCATGTGAGCAAAGTATTACACTTTCTGCTTACTCTAAATCATACTTTGTTTTTTGACTGAATATAATGAAGAAATCTATAAACTGACCAAACTTGATCATTTTTCAGAAGTGGAGAAAATGCATTTCCCTATAGGTCATCCTTCTGACCTAACTATGCAACTCATGGTTCTGGCTACTGAATGTGTTAACCCTGGCTTAAGACAGTCTGGAGGAAACAAATGAATTATTATGGTGATAATGTGATGGCTTCATTCATTTACCAAGTCTGAAAATTTAAATATAAACTTGTTTCATAAGGTGGGAAAATCTTAGAGTATTAACTTTATTTTTTGGTAATACAGAGATTAGAAACACCACCTGACAATTCCTGTATTCTGTGCATGATTAGTGTACAGACATGCAAGTTTATCAGTGCACTTTCACTTATGTTATATTCAATTCTATGAATGTTTCTATGACCGCTGCGGGATGCTCGCAGTTTGGGTCACCATGCTCTGTGATGTATATAGTGCCTCTGAGGGCCCTATAAAGCCATTAGAAGAAAAACTTCATGAAGTTGTGCTCAGAGGAGAGTGATTGGCTGGTATCAAGTACTGAGGTGCTGTTTCAAATCATAGTGAGCTGCCTCACTGTATTCTGACATTTTTCATAGCCTATCCTTGCTGAAAAACAGCTTGTCTCTTAGCCTGACCACATCCGCACTAGAGACTTAGACGTTATCATGTTGCTAAGCTAATAGCTGACTCAAAAATACATACTGTAGTACACAGTATTATGCTAAATATTGTTAATATATAATTAGATGGGATTTTCATTGTTAAAGTTCAGTTTGCATTAGCTTAGCAGCATATTAAACTTAAGCTGTGTTGGAGTCAACTGTGAATAAATGTGTTCATGTCATGTTTTAAATACCATAATTGCGGGGTCTCTATATATAAAAAAATGCTCACATCCTCAGGCCTGATAATTACAAAATTCACAGAATTTTCTGAAAGGTCCAACTTGTACCACATAAAAACTGCAACGTCATGCGGAAACACTAAGAATGCCAGTGGCTTCAGCAGTAAAATGAATCCTTAAAATTGCCTATTGTTAATGTCTTAATAATGCAATTATTATCTGAATAGTGTAACTATCTGTAGTCCTGCTAATTAAACTTTAAGCAATTACATAACAATTGTTACTTACTATTGTGTTTTTGTCTAATGATTACTCAAATTGCACATCATTTTGGCATTAATAATTTTGCTGTAGAAATACATCATTTAGAGTCTGAGGACATGAATAGCGCCAAGTAGAGCGTCTGAGTTGTCATCTCGCAAGTATGGTATTTACACCATGACATGAACTCTTGTGTGGTTTTGTTTGATGCAACAATTGGGACCATCCCGAATTAACCTTTTTTACTGATTCGCAATACATTCTGAAATATCTTATCCATGATGCATAAATGCAACGGTGACTTTGGCCCAAATCCTTACAAAACCACATCATTTTAGCTGTCTACTATTTGGAAAAGGTGTAAGTGTCATGCATACGATGGCTTAAAATGCTGTCTAGCTAGGCAGCTCACTGGGGTTTGGAACAGATCCACAATTTGTCCAATTACGAGTGTTATCCTGTAGAAACAGCAAACAGTGTTGTCTGTTATTCAGAATGTAGGTGTGTTGGGGTAATTGCTGCTGGCCCAGTTCATTACTCCATTATTTGCTAAGTCAACTAGTTGTAGTATTCATCTTTCAGTCACTCACAGTGGCGGTCCCTCTTCATCTATGAAGCTGATGTGCTCTGTGGTAGGCCTCCCTCCTGCTGCCCACTCTTGCATCTCAAACTCTAACTGAGGAGGTCCCGAACTGGGGTTTTGCGGGGACCAGGAAGTCCCAAAAGAGGCCTGGGTTTCTGGCAGGGAGTCCAGGGAGCAGGGCAAGGGTGGGGAGGTTTGTGAACAAGGAGGAGTGCATGACCGTGGCTGAATCCGAGGAGTGGCGTCAGCAGAGGAAGGCGACGATGGAAATGGGTTGATCCCCAGCCTGTGGTCGCCAGGGGAGTTGTTGATCGAGGGTGGTGGAGGTGGGGTGTCCTGTGAGGGGGGTCTTGGTAGGAAACCTCTGCTGTGACTGGCAGGTCGGTGAGGCCCCTGGCAGGGAGAGCACGAAGTAGACTGGGAGCGGAAAGAAGAAATCGGGGAAGAAAAGGCTAGAGATGGATTTGAAGGGTGACTGGTCTGCGGTGGCTGGGTCGGAGCTACCTGGGCGCCTGACCCCTCTGTTTGGGCTGTCACTGGAGAAAGGAGAACTGGCAGGGAAGGTCCCCTCAAACAGCCTGCTGGAAACACCTGAGCATGTGCTTGGTGTCTCTGAGGTGGGCTGGTGGGTATGAGGCAGCTGGGCAAGCCAATGCTTCCAGTTTCTGCGTTGTCCAATAGTAAGCATGTAGGCCTGAGTTGTGCAGACAGTGGGGCTGTGGGCGAAGGAGATGGTGGTGTGGATATTGTTGGACCACTGCTACTGCTGGGAGACGGAGGTATCGCTGGACTGATGGCTGTTAGGAGGGGTTGAGATCCAATGACAAGCAAGGGCCGGAGGAGACGTGTCATTTCCTGTAGCTCTTTGCTCAGCTGAGAGACTTGCTGGGATAGACTAGTCATCTGTGAATGAGATCAGTGGAATGTGAGCTATGGAAGAGATAGTTCTGGCTACAAAATCTGATTGGATGTTCTTCATTCAAAGCTCAGTTCAGTTCAATATTAATGCACCGACAGTTAGAATAAACTACATCAAACAACAGAGTGGTTCTGATTGGTCAATCGCAACAATTTCTTAACAGCATTGCTAGTTGCATGTCTCTCATATGTCTCTGCAATCTCAAAATAAATCATTCAGGTCTCTGACAACTCAGGCCGATACTCTGATTCAAATGAGCTGTTCTCTACTAGCTGTTGCAATCTTTTTAAACATATTTTATATTTAAAAATATATATATATATTTTTTAAAGCAATTTAAGCGATTTATTTTGATTTATTTATTACCTCCTCGCTCAGTTTGGTGATGCTCTGCTTGGTCTCCAGCTGCTCCTGGTTCACTGCACACAAAATGGGGTAAGTTTAGATTTGTTCATATATTGAGTTTGTTGTAGAGATTAATCATATTTTAAGATGAGAGATTGAGAGGACTGGATGGATGAAGAAAAGTTCACTGTAACACGGACCATTTTCTGACCATCTCACGCATACTACACACGAAACTGGTAAGAGCTGCAATCTGATTGTCTGACTTTATGTAATTTCTCTTAGGCCTAGCTTGTTTACACCTTACAAAGATGCGCTTTGGTCGATCAGATCACAAGTGGACAACAATAAATACAGGAGTATCCAGGACCTTGTCCACTTTCAACCACTCACAGAGGTAGTTGAAAACGCATTCGACCAGATTGCTTTCATAGTGTAGACGCACATGTAATCCAATGTTTTCAAACAGCAAAGAAAAAAAGACTAGTGTGCTAGCCAGATGGAATTCAAACTTTGTCTGCCTTGTTGTGCATTATTTGCACACAACTTTTTTTCTCAGGCGTCGAAACACGTCTGTGCAAATAAAATAATGTTTGCATAGTCTGCCCTATATCAAAAGTAAAACATAGTTCAAAAATCATTCTTTTGTTTAATTAAACTGTTATTGTGAACAATACACTGTATTTATGATTAGGACTAATAATGACGATTTACGGTTTACTTCATCTGCCGTTAGATATATATTTGGGTCAGTTTTACTAAACGGCACAATGCGCTCGCTGGCGCGGACATTTAAAGAGATGAATATTTGTTTCAAGTGATAACCTTGGTGAGTGAAATGATATATTTATATTATCTTTCTGTATATGTATAATTTTCATTAGATTTTGTCTAAAAGTAACCAAAAAGACATTTAACTCCAGCTCACCATCAGTGTCGCCAAACTGCTCAGTCCCCAAAACGTTGGTACGCATGGGTCAGAGTTTGCGTGCAGGTGCACAAATTTTCCCATCAAGCTTTTTTTTTTTTTTATAAATCACAACTTGTGCGTCGGAAGTGGCATACACCTTTTTCGGGGCCTGTTTTGTGCATACACAATGGTTATAAATGAGGCCCCAGGTGTAAACAGGGCATGAGTCAGGGTGCCCCAGAATTAAAGTTGTTTGTAAATTGTAATGTTACAATAGATTCTGAGGAAGAATTAATAGCTGATATATATCCCTGTGCAACAAAATATTCTGCTTTGCTTAGGTTTATATCCGATTTCAGATGTACCACCCCTGTGGATGTGTTAAAAAAAAAAAGTTTTAAAAAGACGCAGCTTTATATGTTGGTCATATGGTCCCTTCCCGTCGAAGTGGGCGGTTCTTGGCCAGAATAAGCTGCAGAATAGGTCTGACTGTGCAAGACAGTCTATTTTTGGAAATATCACTTCACAATATTTCCTTCCAGAAATCACATTCTGTCTTGTAGATGTGTTTGTACCTGGGGAAGGGGATGGGGGGCCGCTCTGAGGTAGGCTGGGACCAAACTCAAACCTTTGTGTTGAGCTGGAATTGCTTTCTGTCTCTATACCATCCACAAACCTACAGAGAAAAAACAAATCCACTGTTGTTCATGTGCAGCAGATCCAGGACTAGATTTAAGCAGTTTAGTTAAATGCATGATCATATCAATGTCTACATATAAAAAGCGCCTACATAGAAATGGAATCCTTTGGTTTCAGCTCACTAAATTGCAGCTTTAGGTAAGCTTTGATTTCTTAGTGTGAAATTGAAGAGCCAATCACTAGAGCAAGCAGCAATTCCACCAAAACTGGTTGCCATGGTAGCTGGACACTTCTTCTAAATGTAATGCATGTATAAAGTTCTTATGAGAGCCACCAGAGGGCTCATTGAGAATGTGATGTGAGATGTGTATGTGTACCTGGGGCTGAGTTCTGGAGGGGCGCTGCTGAAACTGACCACAGGTATCTGGAGGGTGGCGGGTCGCGTGTGGTCTGATGGAGGGCGGAAGGGGCGAGGGGGGAGGAGTGGCGATCGCAGTGGGGAGTTGAGCCCCCGGGTTAGGCGAAGAGGAGACCGTGGGGCTCTTGACACTGAGTTCTGCTCTTCATCATTCTCCTCGTCCTCACGGATAGCAGGAAGTTTCTTCACCAGACCACCATTGCTTTCCCAGTCCAGCTGAGAGAGAGACAAAGCAGGGTTCATAATGCAGTTGTCTATAATGCAGTAGATACACGTCTTTGATCAACAGAAGTGAGTTTTATTATTAGAGCTTGGGTGATAGCACTTTACTTTAGTATTTGTGAGGCAGCACTGTATTTATATTCCAATCGGTTTCTTTGTTTTTTTTCTTTTGCACATTTGTCTGCGAGGTCACATTATATTAATCAAAAGTGACAGTCAAGTCATTTATAATGTTGTAAAAAGTTTCTGTTTCAAATCAACATATAGGCATGATTTTTGAAGAATCATGTGACACTGAAGACTTTAGTAATGACTGCTGAAAATTCAGCTTTGTCAACACAGGAATAAATTATACGCAGGAATTAAAGTAATTCAAAGGAACGTTATTACTGCTTTCGATCAAATAAATTCAGCCTGGGTGAGCAAAAGATTTCTTTCAAAAACATGAATGGCAGTGTTACAGTTTAAAAAAACGCCCAATCTTAGTCTTGCATTAACAAAATGAAGAGTTCAGATGCAAAAGCCTCTAAATGCCATTTGAAATTTTCTTCTAAAATGACCATTTTTATCAAGCTTGTATATTTAAGTTCAGTAATTTCACTTAAATGACAATTAATAGGTAATATTCATTGCTATTTAAGTGAAATTACTGAACTTAAATATACAAGCTTGATAAAAATGATCATTTTAGAAGAAAATTTCAAATGGCATTTGGAGGCTTTTGCATCTGAACTCTTCAAATGTAAAACACTGTCACTGTAATATTTGCAGTGATTGGCTCTCTCTCTCTTGCATGTATTTGTATCTATTTAGCCATATATAATCACTTACACTGCCATGATGCTGTGCCACTGTGTCGACCCTGTTACCTCAAACATTAACACCATTCTACAGATGCTTTGCAAGCACTAATATTTCCATTTGAATAGTCAAATCTAGTTATTAAAGAACAATTTATTTTTTTATAAAACCACCACTCTTGGTCCTCAATAGCATGTAATTCTAAAAATTATTTTCAAATGGGTAGTAGTAGTGAAGTGTCATGACCAGTGAGTGGCAGGATAACACAACCTGTTGATTATTCTTGTCCTTCTCTCCCTCTCTTACATGTTTCTCAACCTCTAGCTCAACTCTCTGCATATTTGTCCATTGTACTAGATTAAGGAACCTCAATTGGTTTCCCCCCAGAAAAACCTTCTTCTTTGTAGAAGCTGAAATTGATTTCGATTTCTTCGTTGTTAAACTCTCTCAGCACTGCATGTTCTTAGAATGTCGTAATAAGGATGACTGCAAGCAGCGGTATCCTGCGGCACCGCAAAAGAGGTTGCAGAGAGGGGAGGCGGCACTGTTTATTTTTGTTTTGTCAAAACACATAAAAGACTGTGTCAATCACAGGCCTTCGCTTTGGATGGCAACACACACAGTCCTCATCCCTGCATTGCTACTACTTCACATATCCAGGGAGGAAAGAGGCTGAAAAAATAACAAAACTCAAGCTTATCTTAATTCAATTTAACATGGTTCAATTCGTCCCCCATCCCTTCGTTGGTTCTCCCCAATAACTATGACTGAAATCTCTCCATCTTTATCCGCACCCCCCCCCCTCCCTTCTTCACACCCTGCCTCTCTCTTTCTTCGTATCTTGTTTTTTTCCCCGTTCCTCTCTTGATCTCCACCCCCACACTCTGTCTGCAGTCCCACACCCCACCAAAAGCAGAGTTTATTTTTAGCCATCTCCTTCCAATCTTAGTAACACAGACCCCAGTGGCACATGAGGAGTCTGTGCATGTGTGTAAGATGCTTAAATTGGTTTCTACAGAAGTTTTCCCTTTCTTTCCCTCCCCTTCTCCAGAGAGACAGGAGAAGATGTTTATAATTAGGCATTTCCATGTCCCTCAAGTCACCAAATTCAGTCAATCACGGCTAAGTATAACCAGAGTGAGGGGAAAGAATGCATTACCTTTCTCCTCCAAAGCCCTTTTGCACACACACTTACTGTATATATGTGGTTTATGGGGACTCTCCATAGGGGTAATGGTTTTTACACTGACTGTACAAACTGCATATTCAATACACCACACTAAACCTACCCATCACAGAAAACCTCTGGCATTTTTTTTTTTTTTTTTTTTATAATAATAATAAAAAAACACTATTTAGATTTAGGATATAGAAAGAACACGTTTATATTGTAAAACCAATACACATTTGTGTCCTCATAAACCATATATAGCCTAAAACAACATGCACACACACTCACATAGTAATAGGGATGCTTCACCAATAATCACACTTCTATTCTCACCAGCTCTGCAATTGCTGAAATGTATGTGTGAGTGTGTTCATTGGTATTCTGTGTGTATTCTGGGGTTGCACACATTTGAAATGAGCATCGATGCTGATCTGTTATGTGTCATGGCACAAACACACTTAATTTTTACATTTTCAAATGGAAATGAAGTGACTGCATTTGCAAAATTACTGCCAAGATGTTAAGCTACTGTTGCTGGTTGCCGGGGGATTTCTATGCGGTTGCTAAGGTGTTCTGGGAAGCTTTTAGCGCATTGTTATGCAGTTGCTAGGGTGTTGTCGCTGGTTTTTTAGGTCAAAGTCCCTTGATATTGCTTGGTGAAAACTGTATATCCGACCGAACACCTCATTGCCAACAACCCGCACGATTTGAGTAGGTCATTTGAGGTAAGGGTGAAGTATCTTTTATACATGTTTACTGGCCACTCCACCAACCAACAGTAATGAATTTCTCTTTTTTCTATCTTACTTGATCTCCCTCTTTCTCTCCTCAAACACAGCGATATCTTTCTACATGTGACACCTTGCAGAAGGAGCACTGCAGAAAAAAAGTGAAAAGGAGAGAAATGAGGCACCTCTCCCCCTCGCCCCGTGCCTCTCGCTTCAGAGCTATTTTTATCTGCCAGGATCCAATCTTAGCTCGAGGCATAGGGGACCCAGCCAACACGGAGTCCCCCGCCTTCCCTCTGTGCTATTCTTAGTATCAGCACACACTCCAAACCGCAGCCTGCTGCTATTCCTGTCTTTACAAGTTACACTCAAGGCTAGGAAAACGTGTGTGTGCGTGAGGGCACATGAGAGGGTTCTCGTGCACAGGCATACATGTGCATCCTGAAGATGAGGGGCGTAGCGGGCTGGGTGTCCAAGTCAGGGAAAGGACACTTACTTAAAGAATGTGCCAAAAAAAGGAAAGATGCCAAAGACAGCAGATGGGGAACCATTTTGTACTCTGCTGGTTGTGGATGTGAGTTATGCAGCGTTACACACACATACCTCCAGTCTGTATATCACGGCTATTGAATTTATTGAGTAACTCTGCACTCTACATGCACAAAATCACTATGGTCAACTGGGCTTGTGGAAGTAGGACATTTTTTTTTTTTTTTGCATTTTTATTCATATTTCAAATGTTAATAATAATAATAATAATAATAATTCATTACATTTATATAGCGCTTTTCTAGACACTCAAAGCGCTTCACATAGAGAGGGGAATCTCGTGAAGACGGCAGCCATATTGCGCCAGAACGCTCACCACACACAAGCTTACTGGTGGAGAGGAGACAGTGATGAAGCCAATTGATATGTATGGGGATGATTAGGAGGCCATGATGGACAGAGGCCACTGGGCAAATTTGGCCAGGATGCCGGGGTTACACCCCTACTCTTTCGAAAGACATCCTGGGATTTTTTTATGACCACAGAGAGTCAGGGCCTCGGTTTAACGTCTCATCCGAAGGACGGTGCTCTTTTGACAGCATAGTGTCCCCATCACTTTACTGGGGCATTAGGACCCACACAGACCACAGGGTGAGCACCCCCTGCTGGCCTCACTAACACCTCTTCCAGCAGCAACCTGGTTTTCTCAGAAGGTCTCCCATCCAGGTACTAACCAGGCTCAGCCTTGCTTAGCTTTAGTGGGCAACCAGTCTTGGGCTGCAGGGTGATATGGCTGCTAGTTGTTGCTAATGTTGTTGTTTTTTTCGTAAGTGACTTGTTCACACCAACACAAATGTTCTGCCTGAAAGTGCAGATTTTCGCATGAGATTTGTCTGTTCAGAACAATGCATAAAAAATAACAGGCGGTCTGAAAGAACATGCTAATTTAGTCTCTGATTGCAGGTGATGCTTATAGACCTTAAAGGGGTCATAGACTGAATTATTTTATAATATTTCCTGGGGTGCTCTTATGATGTTAGTATGATTTAACATCAAAAATCGTCATAATTTATAAATAAAAGACATTTTTCCAAGCCTGATTTAAGGCTCTGATTTGAACGCTCTGTTTTAAAGGATGTCTGCTGTGAGACTTCAATGTAAACGCCCACTATACTGTGATTGGCTGACACGTTTGCATATGAAATGGCTAGCGTTACATGTAGAACTCTCTCTAAAACTTTTACTTTGCAGTGATGAACATTGAGCAGATGACAGATAGTCTGTTGATCACGTAGGAAATTACAGCCCTGCATGGCTTTCACCAAATAACAATACAAACACGATGCAAATACAGCAAGAGCATCTATGTACTGTACCAGCATCATCATTTTGTGATGATTGATTTCAACGAATGTTGGCAAGTGCCCAGATAAACTCGTGATGTGTGATTTACAGCTTGGGTAATTGGAAAGGAAGGGTTCTTTGATCGCTTTCTTTATATAATTTAATCACAGTTTAAATAGGATTATTTTCATCCTACTAAGAGAAACAATGTGAAGTTAATTGTTTAGTCACTGGCTTGATTTACTGTTGCATAAACGGTATTGGACGATATTTTGATACAGTGGGTGTGAAGCTGTCACAAGTCTCCACTTTTTAGATCCTGTCATTTGCTGACCTTGGTTTCTATAAAATCAGTTTTTGGAAAAACAATAAAGTTTCGAGTTTTGAAACTTACAGGGTATTTTTATAGTATAACAAACTCTTAACTGTCAAAGGATCAAGGAACATTTGAATTCTAATTCTATGACCTCTTTAAGCACTAGACTAGAGAAACAAGTGTGCAACCATCTTTAGAATATTGTCTTTGGACTTCCATTTTTGCGGTCGCAGTTGAGGAGTAATTAACTGGTGAAGTGAATTTACTTATGGTAAAGTTAATGAAAGTTAGAAAGTTGCAGATGTCTTGGGAAGATTTTAAAATGAGTCTATATGAAGAGTTCAGGTGCAAAAGCCTCTAAATGCCATTTGAAATTTTCTTCTTTTATGATGATTTTTGTCAAGCTTGTATATTTAAGTTCAGTGATTTCACTTAAATGGCAATGATAATTACCTATTAATTGTTATTTAAGTGAAATTACTGAAATTAAATATACAAAGTTCGACAAAAATCATCATTAAAGAAGAAAATTTCAAATGGCATTTAGAGGCTTTTTGCATCTGAACTCTTCATATAGACCTTATGTCACCCCACCTCTTTTCAGCGCTGTGCTTGTTGTCTTTTGTCTTCCAGTCTGTATTTTCAAAGCGATCTTATATTTATGAATGAATGGCTTGTTTAAAAATCTCCCCGGTCTACTGACATTTGTCAAGATCTGCTTTAAACATTACAATCCTCATGATAACTTTTGTTAACTTTACTTTAAGTAAATCCACTTCAAAAGTTCAAGTTCAAAGACAGTATTCTAAAGATGGCTGCATGCTTGTTTCTCATGCGCATAAGGTCTATAGACAAGCAGAAATACAGCGGTTACCCAAGTTGCTATGGTACACAAAGCGACGTCGTGCAACTTTCTCTTTCTAATTGACATGAAGTCAAAAGGTCTTGAAACAGCCATTGAGATGTTTGTATTCGCTATGGTGTTAATCAAACAACACAAAATACAGGAGTAAAGAAACAAGAGAGACAGTTCTAGACTCTACATCTGCTATTCACTGTTTAGCAAAATTGTCTGTTCATGAGTCACCTTAATATTTATCAGCAATGAAATAACATTTTCTATTGTAAGAAAAAAAATCTTCAATTTTTCTCTATAACAAATAGTCTCAAACTGCTCAAATTTGTCAAGATACCAAATTCTGCAATCAGAAGTCAGAGATCACATTATTAACTCAAATATTTCTCATCAAATTCCTCCAAGACCAGTTTATCTGAGATATATCGAAGTTTAAAGAATCGTTCACCCAAATAAGAAATTTGTATTATCCTTTACTCAATCTCATATTCCAAACATGTATTACTCTGTCTTTTTCAGAAAGACATTTTAATAAATATCCGTAACCAAACAGTGATGGTTACCACTGATTTACATTGTATTGAAAAATAAATAAATAAATCAATAAAAATTCTAAAAATGTATCTTTTATATTCTGTATTAGACAAAGTCTTACAAGTTTGTAACAACACGAGGGTGAGTAAATGATGACGATTACTATTTATACATCCCTATTTATAGCTCTATACTCTTATTATATAAAGTGTTTCTATTTTATGATAGAAATCTAAAGCAAAACTGAATAGCTGAGAATATGAACCATGTTCATACATGAAGGTGACTGTATTATGTTTGTTCAATTGAATGATGCACTATTTATAGGACTCATATCAGCTCCATAGCACAACTATAAAATATTGATAGTCCAATCCGAGGCGATGTATCGACTCCTGACCTGTACTTTCGAGGTAATTGCCTCAGTCCCTCATGCACATGATTCAGGCTAAAAAAAGCTCTATTGTATGCACACACTCCTTGACCTTTATAGTCATATATGTAGAATCGAAGCATTGTCGCCCTTTGGCCCGAATACCGGCATGTGTGCTTGCAAGCATCACTCACGTCAGCTCCACTGCCCTCCCGCAGGTTATAGGTGAGATCGTGCTGAATTTCGCTGACAAATTTCTGGGCGTATTCAGGATAGAGGCGCAGCACCTCTCGCAGTCCTTTCAGGCTGATGTACTGCAGGTCACAATATGTCAGAGCTTTCACGTTTGCGTTGGTCTTGATCACCTGCTCTTTTGTCAGCGAGTCCGAGCCGATCAGGTCCCCTTTTCCTATTTGAGAAAAGCATATATAAATTAAATTGTTAGTTTATTTAATTTTAGTTAAACAAACTTATCCTTTGGATTAGAATATATTATGGCTGTATATTTTCCAAAAAGTGTTGTTTTTTTTGTTTTTTTTATAATTATCTCATCTGTATTAATTGTAATCAATAGGTCAATATTGGAATAATATACTTCACCTAAAGGATTATTAGGAACACCATACTAATACTGTTTTTGACCCACTTTCGACCTTCAGAACTGCCTTAATTCTATGTGATTCAACAAGGTGCTGAAAGCATTCTTTAGAAATGTTGGCCCCATATTGAAAGGATTGCATCTTGCAGTTGATGGAGATTTGTGGGATGCACATCCAGGGCACGAAGCTCCCGTTCCACCACATCCCAAAGATACTCTATTGGGTTGAGATCTGGTGACTGTGGGGGACTTTTAGTACAGTGCACTCATTGTCATATTTAAGAAACCAATTTGAAATGATTCAAGCTTTGTGACATGGTGCATTATCCTGCTGGAAGTAGCCATCAGAGGACGAGTACATGGTGGCCATAAAGGGATGGACATGATCAGAAACAATGCTCAGGTAGGCCATGGCATTTAAACGATGCCCTCTTGGCACAAGGGGCCTAAAGTGTGCCAAGAAAACATCCCCCACACCATTAAACCACCACCAGCAGCCTGCACAGTGGTAACAAGGCATGATGGATCCATGTTCTCATTCTGTTTACGCCAAATTCTACCATCAGAAATCGAGACTCGCCAGACCAGGCAACCTTTTTCCAGTCTTCAACTGTCTAATTTTGGTGAGCTAAGGGCCAAGGGCGTGGTGAGCTGAAACCTGCATATGTCCCGAAGAACCGCAAACATCCAATAGGAATGGATGTTTCCGGCGCTGCCTTCTAAGCCTTGTCGTACCACATCAGCTTTGGTGGGCAGAGTGTATATGGCGGCGGGTCGGGCTGGTGCGAGCCTGCACACAATGGCTATTTTGCAGCCGTCCTAAGCTGACCTGTTGAGGGACATAGACCAAGGCGAGGGTCCCTCGGTTGAGGTTATTGCTGAGCTTCGCAGGGCCACAGACTTGTCCCTCTGGGTTACCAAGGAGACAGACCGTGCCATCGGTCGCTCCATGTCAGCTTTGGTAACCACGGAGAGACATCTATGGCTCAACCTGTCTGGCATTAAAGAGAAGGACAGGGCTTTTCTGCTTGACGTGCCTGTTTCAGCTTCTGGTCTGTTTGGGGGAAGCTGTTAACGTTGTTGTTGACAGGTTTCATGATGTTAAGAAGCAGGGCAAAGCATTTAAACAATATCTCCCTCGCCATTCAAGGTCTAGGAGGGCGGCTGCAAGAGAGCAGCCACAGCCGTCTTGCAGTTCCTCTCATTGCCAAGCACAGAAAGCGAGTGTTGCCTCTAGAGGTCCCCCTAATAAAACTTGGGACTCTGGATGTTGCTCTAGACTCTAGATGTCTAGACCTCCAGAGGCTCCATTCCGCTTGATAAGGGTTCCGTGCAGATGCATTCATTCCCTATCAATTTGGAAGAAGCCTTGGTTCTTCTCCCAGGGTCCTAAATTGGGAGCGTTATGTCGCAGAGTATCTATTTCGACAGACACCTCCCTCACGGAGTCATGGACGGCTGCTTTGCGAGAGTTCATTTATAACATAATTGTTCATGTACTTTAATGTTTTAAATAGAATTACAATTACTGTAGGCTAATATAAGCCTATGTTGCAGGGCATTCAGTTACTTTTGAAAGGACAAAAATAAGATGTCAGTGTATTTCATTAGAGTTTAACTTTGCCAGCTATAAAAAAAAAAAAAATCTAGCATTTGCTCACGTTTTACCAATGATTTTTAGTGACAGTTGATATGCATGGACCACTGGCCGATGACAGTTATCCCGCCTTCCCCTCTCCCCTCCCGTGCCCTACCACACCCACTCCTCTCCCTTCTTTTCACAGCCATTCACACCCATTTAAGTTGCATTTTTCAAAAAGATTGAGAGACTTGTGCTGAAAGAGGGGGGTTTCATGACCCTTTGAACAGGCATTGTCATGTAGCGTTCATAAGTACGCAATCAAAGTTGCATATGCATCTTGCCAAAATATTGTGTAAATGTGTAGAGACAAGTAAACAAAAAAGCAAAAAAAAAAAATCAATATCAAATTTAGATGCAAAAATTATTAACAAAAAAAAAAGTTTATGTTCTAAGTTTCAAAATGAGACTCAGGAGGGGCACATAAGGCAGAATAGAGGCTAAAAATATGTTCTAGTTTGGTGCAAAGGGACTGTGAAAGCAGTAACAAATCCTGAAGTGTGCTAAAGTGTCAAAGCAGTGCATTCTGGGAAGGCACACAGTGGAGGCAACTGAGTTCAGCAGCACTGGGAGAGAAATGGGTGGTGGACCATATGCACATCCTTCATCAAGTAAGCAGGTGTGGTAAAAATGCATCTGCCGCATGTGTGTATGTGTATATGTGTGCGTGTGTTGTTTCTACTGTCATGTTTACAAAAACTCAACATATCTTGTCTCTAAGATAACATGTCAGAGCCCAATTACAGCAGATTGTCATATATATATATATATATATATATATATATATCCTTCCTAACAAGAAATGTGGAAGCAAAATGGTTATACAAAAAAAAAAATTGCAAATATTTGGAGATGGTGCTCACTGCGGAACATGAAATCCATGGGGAGGAGTCGGATCCAGATCCAACTCCTCCCACCTTACATACACCTAAACCTAACCAACTCCGCCCCCTGATCCCTAAACCCACCCCTAATCCCTAAACCCAACCCTAATCCTACCCATCTCCACCCCTTGGATCGTGATCCGACTCCTCCCCGTGGATCTCATGTTCTGCATTGAGGTGCTACTGAATATTTGCGCAATATTTTTTTTTATGGGTTCAAGGAAATACGATTATTCTACTCAACATTTAACCATCGAACATTAAACAAGAAAGTGTAAAAGCATTAACAAATTACTACTTTGTGCATTAGTGAATCATTCATGGGATATTTTGTGAAGTAAATCGGGAGCGCAGACCACAAATGCACAGTATATGTTGTCTTTTTCCATACTGTTACAGCAAAAAAAAAACTTTTTTACCGAATAACCTTTACGGTATTCTTCAGACGCCTGAAATTAAAACGAAGCGAATTCAGTCAAACTGGCTGATAAGGATTATTTGTAGAGTAACCATATGATTTGAAATTGATATTATTTGATTTAGACTTTTTGAGTGGAATTCTCCAATCCGGGAGATGGATACAGCCGTGTTATATTATGTGTCCAAGATCTATACTATAATTATTATTGGTTGCTTTGGTCTCTTCAAGACCTCATTAGAGAGCCAAAAGCACGTATGAATAACAGGACCTGTCACTGATGGTAAATATTGCTTTTATTATAATTACTCTGCTTTAAAATGTCAGCTGGTAATGGGGTTAAAGTTGAAATTGTTTGAACTTTGGCCTCCATGTTATAACGCTTGACTAGCATGCATGGCAGCATTAAGGGATAGACTGTAACTGACGCTTCAACCCATAGAGTTCTTTGCATTCAGCCCATTCTCACTCCCAAGGCGTCACCTAACTGACGCCTTGGGAAGCATTTGGACATGCTTCAATATCTGACGCTTTAGGCGCCCTTTAGCGTCAGTTAGATGACGCCCTAGGATCGCGTGTACCCTACCCCCACCCCACACCTAAACCTAACCGCGTCCTCTAACTGACGCTTTCCTTTAGCGTCAGTTAGATGACGCCGTAGGATCGCGTCATGTAAGTGACGCTAAAGGGCGCCTAAAACGTCAAATATTGAAGCATGGTCAAAGGTGACGCCTTGGGGTGAGAATGCGTTGTTGCATTAGGTAACACTGATGTCAGTCATGTGACAGTAATCTCTTTCTTCAACTTTTTGCTTTCTCGTTTCCTTGTCTTTCTGATTCGGTCTCTCTTTCTCCTCACAGCCCTGACATACTGTAGTTCTGCAGTGCAATAACAAGTGTAATCTCATTGCGAGGTGACAGGAGTCTAGGTGGAGGAAGCCATTTCATATCACAACTTTAATTAAGACAATCACTCCCACTCCAACTGCAGCTCAGGGACGTCTGCGTGTATATATATATATTGGTCTGTTTCTGAGAATAAGTGTTTATTGCTGTCTGTCTTGACTAATCATTCGCTTGCGTTTCATGCTTCATTTTTTATCAGTCATTGCCAATTCTCTCTCTCTCCCACTCCACCCCACCCCCGCCCCCTCCCCCCGTGAATCCCCGGGTCAAGCTGTCAGATCGATAACGCCACAGGAAAGTGCCATTACTTTGCGTGTGTGCAGGTGGTGCAACATCAAACGCACATCCCCCAAACAGTCCCTTGATGACACTGAATGAATGTGCATTCATTCACAGCTCTGCATTTCCTCTTCCTTTAGAAGACAATAGTCTTTGAGTTCTATTTAAAACTTGGAATTTGGAATACAGTTTTATTATAAACTTAATGTAATGCATATTTTGTCAGTCATACATAAATGAAACTTATAATTATCATAAATTAAATTTTCTATTTCTATCTCTAATTGCTTGTTCCAAAACCAACAATGTAAATAATTAGGTTTTTATATTAATACATTTAATTTTTCACGATGAACCGATGTATGCTGATTCCAAATCATTTGAATAAATGCAAATTTAAAAATCATTAATAATAAACAATGCCATGATTTTTTTAGAGCAGAAATCTTACCCGTTGCTCGTTTCACGACTGACAAATGTGCATCACATTAAGATTATTATTTAATGTTAAAACTGTAAATCAAATGGATGACAATTTTAATTACATAAGCAATTGAAATACATAAGTTTAAAATATAATATATCTTATGGTCTAATGGTCACTGTAATGAAACTGGAAGTGTGAGATATGTCATTATATGTCATACCCAATGGCATCATGTAAATCCTGTCTCTATAGGATGTTT